TCTATATTCTTCTTCTTTTGATGATAAAGGGGTATCATCATCTTCATCAGTTTTGATTCTTATAACTCTTGTATGTTCATCATTATTTTTTATAGTCACCTTCCGGGGACTTGCTATATCTCGTTTGATATTGCTAGGTCCACTGCTGCTTCCTGGCTGTGTACCTGTTTGTATTTTTGAGATTGTATCAATTGGCATTTCCTGTTTGATGTCTAATGACTCGAATTGTGAAGTAATATCAACAATTCTGTCATTCAATTCTTTGGTATATTTGGAATGAGAATTAGAGATTTCCACCAACAACTTGACATTTTGTTGGATAGTTTCTGCCATTTCCTCTAACTGCTCAATTCCAATTTTCATATCTTCAGATTCTTCCATGAGGAATTTCATTCGTCTGTTGACGTCTATTAATGAATTTTTGATATTATCCATCTCCAAATTCAATGTTCCTGCTCAAAAAATCTGCAAGATAATTATTTATTCCTTTAATATGAACAATATCAAAATTGTAGAATGATAAATATGCTTGCCATCTGTGTAACCTTCTATATTGAGGTTCCATAGGTAACTTATTTCTAATAAGACCTGCAACTTGAGAATTATCAGTTTCAACAATGAATTTTTTAGATAAAAGAAATAATGAAAACTTTTTTATTCCTCTAATAATTGCTAACAATTCTTTCTCATGGGTAGTATAATTTATTTCTGCTTGGTTAAAAGTTCCACTTGAATATCTGCATATTTCATTTAAATCTGTTTTTAATATAGCTGCCCAATATTTATCTGAGGCATCAGTATTGACAATTAGATTATCCTTTTCATCTGGTAATCTTAATTTTGGTAAATTTTTACATTCTTCTTTTAATGATTTAACAATTTCAGTATGTTCTTTATTCCAACGTTTAGTATTTGTTTTTCTAAGTAGGATTTGTATCTTATGTCTCTTCTTTGAGAGATTTTCAATAAAACTTTCGGCATAGTTTAAATATCCTAAAAATTTTTGTATTTGTTCTTTGGATTTTAATTCATCTGGAAAGCTTTCTATCTTTTTAGAAATGTGACTTTGTAGTTTTATTCCTTTTTTATCTATTGATAATCCTAAAAAATCTATTTCTTATTTCTCTATTATAGATTTCTTTTTAGAAAGTACAATTCCTTCCTTTTTGCATTCATTTATGAATTGTAATAAATGATCCCTATGTTCTTTTTTATTATTAGAACATATTAGTATATCATCAATATAAACAATAAGAAAATCACTATACTTTTTGAATATATTATCCATTTTTCTTTGATATATTTGTGGTGCATTTTTTAAACCAAATGGCATAACTAATCATTCATATTTTCCTTGGGGTGTACTAAAAGCTGTATATTGTATACTATCTTCTTCCATTTTTATTTGCCAAAATCCTGATTTACAATCAAATTTGCAATAATATTGTTTTCAAAAGTTTATTAGGACTTCTTTATTTGGTAAAAAGTAACCATCAAATTTAGTATATTTATTTAATTCTTTATAGTTTATTACCATTCTAGCTTTTCCTCTAACCTGCTCAGAATGTTTCATAACCATAAAAGCTGGACTACTATGAGGTCCATTACTGGGTCTGATTAGCTTTTGTTCTAATAGTTCTTTTATCTGAATTTTAAATTCTTGCATATCCTGTAAGGTATACATCATTGGTCTAACTCTTATTATAACATTTTCTGTTAATTCTATCTTAGCTTTAGGATGGTATGGTTTCCAAAATAATAATGGGTTTTCTCCATAAATTCTTTCTAATTGTTCTATGATTTTTCCCATATTTATCTCTATTTCTGTTTTTAGGATCTTTTTATATGATAGTTTTTTATTTTTAAATTCATCTTGTACTATTGGTCTTTTTTCCCATTTATCACCACGCTGGACTGGCTGAACTCTGTAGGGTCTAAACTCTCTTGATATTTTCAATAGATGTGCACAAGGTGTTTGTAACATTAT